CTGAGCTTCAGTTCTCCACTGGGGCCTACAGAGGATAGTGGCCTTGTCACAAGGCTGCGGTGCAGTTTAGGAGAGCTGAGAGATGGAAACGTGCTGGTAAATGTTTAGATCTGCTCGGCTGAAGGGAGGCCTTCCTAGTCCCTGGCGCTTCATAACCCTGGTTTAGTCTTCTCAGTAGAGGGTCAAGTCTCTTCCCTGCACCTGCTCCTGCTCCTCACATGACTGTCCACATGGGGAGCCCTAATGAATAAATGATGGATAGATGATGAATTACCTCTCATGCATAGTGTATTGGGGTCAAACCAGCAGCTGGAGTCACGTGCTGGAGGGGCTCCTCCTGGAAAGTGTATGGCCCTGCCCAGAGGCTACACTTGCCACATGCCTGTGTCCAGGATGTGAGTGGGTACCAGCTGGCTTCCCTGACCATTTGTGTCCAAAATGACGTACTGAGCCAGCCTCCGGCCTTTCTCATCTGTCCAGATCCTCTGGCTAAAACCAGCCACATCCAAAGCCCCTGTGTGGTCCCCTAAGTGGGCCCCTGAGAGTTCTGCCCCATAGCTCTCAGAGTGGTTCAGGGCATGGGCCAGCAGGACAACGGCATCATAGATGGTTCCAAAGAGTGGGGACACCTGTGGGAGAGAGGGTCTCTTAACCCCACAGCCCCACAGCATAGGCTCCCAGACACCTCTGAGTCCTGCCTCCCACCAGCAGCAATGGTTTAAATGGTCATCCCCTTTCCCACCCCCAAAACAGTTCTCCCTTTGATCCCAGCACTACCTCAGTCCCCACTCAGAAGCCTGACAGTCTGCATGGCCACCACCACCCTCACCAGCATCTCAAACATACCTAAAATGTCCAAAATACAACTCCTGGTTCTTCCAAACCAAACCCCAATCATTCCTCCCACATTTTAGGAAATGGAACCACCATACGCCCAGTTTCTCAGGCCGGGGCTTAATTCCCAACTCCTCTCTTTCTCTCTTCCAGTTCATCATCATACCTTTTTGGCTCTGTTTCAGAATTTGTTCCCAATCCAATTGACTTTTTGCCACCTCTGCTCCTGCCACCTGGGTCCAGCCCCACTCACTGCTCCCCTGAACCACACAGGAGCCTCCTAAGGGCCTCCTTGCTTCCCCTGGCCCTCTTCAGTCCATTCTCCATAAAGCAATCAAACCATGTTTTTAAAAAAACAAAAAATCAATCATTTTTTACTTAAACCCTGCTGATGGCTTCCCATTTCATTTATGATAAATCCAGGCTCCTTACCCTGGCTTACAAAGCCTCACATGATCAGGCCCCATGCTCATCTCAGATCTCTCTCCCCATCGCTCAGGACCCACCCACCACTCCACACTCCCTCCGGCCCATTCCTCTAGCCATCAACGCTCACTCTGCCTCCGGGCCTTTGCACTTGCTGCTTCCCCTGCTTGGTTGTTCTTCACCCAGATCTTTACATGGCGGCCTCCTTAGCATATCAGAGCTCAGCTCAAGTGCCACCTCCTCAGAGCGAGCTTCTCCACCTGTCCTGTCTCTTGTTGTCCACTTCTCCATCCCCGCCACTCTCTGTCACTTTATCCTGTTTTATTTTCTTGGCCACATCACCACTATTTGAATTTGGTTATCAAATTGCTTGGTTATTATCTGTCTCACCTTAACAGAATGGAAGTTTCTTGAAGGTCAGGACTGCCTTGTCCATCACCATGTCCCTGATGCCTGGCACAGTGCCACATAAGAGGGACTCAGTCCACATTTGTCAGATGAATGATTGATTGCCCCTCCATCAGCAACTGGGAGAGACTCACGCAGCTGAGTCCTATAAGCCAAAACTGAGCCAGCAGCCCTGGGTTTAATGTCTGTCTGTCTGTCTGTCTCTTTCTGTCTCTCATAGGTGTGTGTGAGTATGTGTTGAGGGGCGGTGGTGTCTAGCATCCCCACCACCAACATCTTCCGATCCACAGCCATGACTTCAGAAAACCTCCGACTCTCCTATATTCCCCACACTCTCTCCTGATCTTCACAGTGTGCTAGAGAGATGCAGGGAAAGGAGAGGAAGAATGTGTGTGAGAGAACGAGCAGCTGGGCAACGAGAATTAGAGGAATTGAATCAGAGATAGAGAAAGAGAGGTAAGAGGGACCCGAGAGAGAGAGTTGACAAAGCAGGACAAGAGAGTGAATGACACGAGAAAAAAGTAATACAGACATACTCACACACACAATTACAAGAGAAAGAGACAGCCAGACGTTACACCCAGGGACTAGGCAGAGAGACACTTTGTCAAATGAGGGACAGGTCATGTGCCCACAGTGGAGGCACCACTGGCTGGCCTGGTGGGGAACTGGTCAAGGCCAGGAAGTCTCAGAGTGGGTGAGGAGCGTGTGCACACTTGCCCGTGACCCCACATTCCGGGCCTTGAGAGGGTCTGCATGGACCTCCCTGCTCTGGCTCCAGGTGGGCAGCCAGCTCTCCACCAGCCCTGGCAGCTTCGAAGGCCTTGTCTCCAGGGCCAGACTCCAGACTGACGATCAGCACTGCATCGTAGGCCTCCTGCAGGGGCCCATTGTTGCCCAGGGCCGGGTAGGAGCGGATGCGGTAGGGCAAGGCGAACAGCATTGTGTCGTAGGGCAGGAAGACCAGCCTCCTGTCTGCCAGGCCCTGGGCCTGTGCCCGGCTCAGCAGATTGGTCTGCTCGGAGCCCCCTAGGAGCGCCGAGTGCATTCACAGCACCAAGACTGCAGGTGGCTCACCCTCACATCCCTTCCCTGAAACCCAGAACTCTGTGGCCCTGGGGAGCCGCTCAGTACTCTCAGGTCCATCCCTCCCATCCATTGCCCCTCCTCAGCCCTCCCCTCCCCCTCAGTCTGGGGAAATTTCCCTTTTATCTCTCCCCCTGGAACAATAACAGCCAAGGCCACCAAATCTGGGTTTGCCCTGGTGGGAAAAAAACCCTCAGCTGAGGATGGATTTGTATTAATATGTCCCTTCCAGTCTTCCCACCCAATAATCCTGACCACCTTTCCACCTTCTCTCGGCCCCACTTGCTCTGACAATTGCTAATATTTATTGACAGCTTGCAATGTGTTGTCCTAAAGTGCTCTGACAAACATTTAGTCATTCAATTTACAACAGTATGAAGAAGTATGCTTATTATTATCTCTACTTTCAGATGAGGAAACCAAGGCACAGAGAGGTGAAGGAGTTGCCCCAGGATATATAACCACCAGGGTAGTAGAGCCAGGATTGGAATCCAGGTAGGCTCGCTCCCAGCTAGTAATCTTTTTTTTTTTCAAGATTTAAAAAAATTTAGATAATTCGAATACCATAAAATTCACCTTTTAAAAAGTATATAACTCAGTAGTATTAGACACAAAGTTATGAAACCATCACCAGTATTTAATTCTGGAACATTTTCATCATACCAAAAGGAAACGCTGTACCCATTAGCAATCACTCCCTATTCCTCCCTCACCCAACCACTAATCTGCTTTCTGTCTCTATGGATCTGCCTGTTCTGGACATTTCATAGGAATGGATTTGTGCAATATGTATCCTTTTGAGTCTGGCTTCTTTCAAATAACATAATGTTTTCCAGGTTCATCCGTGTAGCAGCCTATATCAGTATTTCATTCATTTTTATGGCTGCACCATATTCCACTGATTAAACATTTTGTTTATCCATTTGTTATTGGCTTGTAATCCCAACTGTGGCCCTGGGTGTCATCCTCAAGATCTAAGCAGACATGAATACATTCCCCTTTGCCTTTGTAAAAGAAACAGGCCCGTGATAGTAAGGCAGGCAATTTCATCCCCAGGCACCCAGGACAGAAGGGAACCCTGCCTGAGGCAAGGGGCCCACACATCTGCCCAAGGTGAAGGTTCTCTGCACCTTGGGTCCCTGACCAGGGCTTCAACCACAGCCAAAAAAGGGCCACCACTTGCTTTGGCTAGGGCCCAGGTTCCTACTGCAATCCCTTTTTCCAGAAATTTCAGGAATGTGGAGCCGCTCAGGAGGGCCAAGTTTCTCCTTCCTGGGGCCTGAGGATCCCTGGTTATGTGGAAATCAGAGCCGGGAGCCCAGACTCTGCTGAACCCCTGGGTGGCCATGCTGTGTGGGCCATGGGCAGGAACCCACACCCCAGAATAGTGGGGAGGGCTCTCATAGGAGGATGTACCAGGACTGGGTGGAAACAACCAGGGCTTCCTTGGTCTCATCTCCCGTGCTCTGCCCCTGTTCAGCTTCTCCCAAAACACTTCTTTCTCTTACATGGAGTCAGAGACAATGTTCTGCATTTGGCCACAAGGGGGAGCTGATCCACACAACTGGGCATGTTAACGAGTAAAAGCCCACGTTGATTATAAGCCCAGCTTACTATGTCGAGGGCACTGTTCCAAGCCCTTTATCTGCAGGAGTTCATCACATCTTCATGATGAAGTAGGGCCTCATGTCATTGATGAGGAAACTATAGCACAGAGAGGTTTAGTGACTTGCCCGAGGTCACACAGCTGGTAGGAAGTGGGGCCAGGAGTGGGATCCTGGCGTTCTGATTCCGGAGAATGTGCCCCTACCAGTCTGCTTTCTGGCTTTTGAAAGCCAGAACCATGGCTTGAACTCAATCCCCTATAACAAGGGTGGAGCAGGAGTCTGATGTGGTTTCCTCCACCCACTGCCACAGTGCTCCGGCCTCTCAGAAGTGAATTGTTCATCCTCCTAGTCCTGCTGACATGCTACCTCCATTCCTTTGCTCTAGCTGACCCTCTGCCTAGAATACCCTCCCCTCATCTCCACCTGCCATCAACTTCTCATTTTTCAGGTCCTGCCCCTGTGAAGCCCTGCCCACCCTCATGCAGGTCAGCTCCTCCAGCCTCTGTATCCACACCCATCTCCCACCAGACTCAAGCTCCTCACTGCTGGGGCCAGGCCAGTTGCTCTCTGCATCTCCAGAGCCCAGCTAGGGTCAGGCACAGAGCAGGGCTCAGTGACGTGGTGGAATGAAGCATGTACAAAGCACTCGATCACATACACCTGCTCCTCATGACCTTATGAGATGGGTCTCATTATCCCCATTTCACCTACTGGAAAAATGAACTCAGGGAAGTGAGGTACCTGTCCTGAGGGGCAGCAGGCACACCTGGGCCAGGCCTCGTCCTCCACTCAGCTCTAACTCACTATGGGCCACAGGAGCTCAGAGGCGGCCCACCCCGCCCCTCCACTGGTGCTGACCTCAGTGCGCTCACACATAAAACTTGATAATTGGTCTCAGCGGCTCTCAAATCGTTGCCAATGACTATAGTAAGAAATACATTCTACCATGGTGTGCTTGCAAAGCTGAGAGTGTAAGACAAGTACACATACACAACTGAATTCACAGAACGACTCTTTCGCCAGCTACCTGTCCTGCATGCTCGCATTCATTTCTTGTACTCTATCCTACTCAATTCTATTCTTCTCTCTATTCCAGGTTCTTCTTCTTCTTTTTTTTTTTTTTCTGGCAATGCTAGTCTTGATTCACTAAATCGGTTTTGTAACCAAAATGGGCCACATTTTGAAACAGCTCCAGTCCAGATGAGCACTAAGGTTCCTTCTATCTTTCAGGTGCCACCTCTAGCCTGCGCCCCACCCTATCATGGCACTCCCTGGCTACTTCCTTAAAGACAGGTCACATACCACCTCTTCCAGGAAGCATCCTCAGATCCCCCAGAGCCCGGCCCCACTCCTCTTCTCCCTGGGGTGACCTTGACCTCATGGTCATAACCACCTTCTTATACACCTGTCTCTCTATCACCTGATTGTCCCTTGGAGATCAGCCACTCTGTCTGTCTGTCCTATTCAACGCAAGATCCAGCACAACAGGGACTTGATAAATGCAGGAAGCCTTCTATCAATCAACAAATCCATGAAGGTTCTAACTCTAATTCCAAAAAACTATAATAGCTCTAACACCCTTCCTGGGGCTTAGGTCCTGCTACGCTCTCATTTCCTTCACTGTATCAGGCAAGAACCTAGAAAGCCCTTGGCTCCCACTCCACAACTGACACATTCACTGAAGCTCAAAATCTGACTGTATCGCTTGCCAGCTGTGTGACTGGGGCATGCTACTTGTCTTCTCTGAGCTGCAAAGTGCAGACCATAGCAGGACTAGCTCAAAGGGAAAGTGCGGGGCTGTTGTCAAATGCTGAGCCCAGTGTCTGGTATGCAGAAAACTCCCCATCAGTGGCCATATGAAGTCTGGCCTGCCCACAGCGGGAAGCCACCCATGTACACTTACTTTTCAGGCCATCCACACTGCAGAGCTGCTTCAGGACCTCCATGGCCCCCTGCTCTCCGGGTCCCAGGGAAATCACCAACCCTACAGGCAGTCCATGTGTCCTGAGAGTCATGGCCACCTGTTGGGCTGTAGCCAGCCAGATGTCCTGGTAGGAGGACATGATGGCCACGTGATCCCAGCCAAAGTGTCTCATGATGGACAGCAGCACGTGGGCAGCCAAAGGCAAGGTGGGCACCAGCTCACCTCCTCCCTCTGGAGCCCTGCATGCCCAGGAGAAGAGGGTCTTGCCCCAGCCTTGGGCCAGTAGGGCTGCTGCTGGGCAGTAACTAGGATTGACAGGGCCCACAAAAGCACCTACAGTGTTCTTGTGGGCCAGGAATGTGGCCAGGGCACTAGGGGTGTCACAACCCGTGGGAAGGACCGTGGAAGCAAGCCGTGAGCCCAGCGCCAGTGAGGAGTCCTGGTTGACTCGGTCCACAGCCAG